AAATCCAGGGGTGAGAACAGAGCAAGTCCATCAAAACATTGAAGGTATGATTACATTTCTTAACTTGTTCCGTCTTCACAGATAGGATACAAAAAGTTCTTTTGAGATCTTAATTGAACTCATGTGTCCTTAGTCACAACTCACAACATTAAAAGAACTGCGAAGCAGCTGCCTGGTATCACATGCTACTGTCAGGGAGACAACCTCTCAGGGCCCACCGTGCTGGCTTCCTTCCTGTCCATCGCCACGGTAAGATTATTTGACTTACAAGTTACAGCCCGCCTAATTGTTATCGCAGTGGAAACAAATTACGTAGGTGTCAGGAATTCGAAAAAGATTACACTGTATCATGTGCATACTATGTTTCTTATCTCATTCACGCTTCGAAAGGTAAAACAGACACAATGTACACGGAGGTGTCGGTCATTATCTGAGTAGCTCATCGGTTTCTAGCGAAAGAACCAACATATAAACGCATTGTCTGTGCTCAAAACTCTTCCGTCTGAGCCATCAATTAGAAATGAACACTTCCCTTCGCTGTTTGTATTTCTGTGTGAATGCGTAAACAATGCGTATCATACGCTGGTTCCCCCTTTCTTCCCCCCCCTTTTCGCTAAACTTCGTATTTTCCTTTTGTTATTTCAAGTCACGTGTAATTTATAGTTTCCGGTGCTAGTCACAATTATAATTGCTCAAGACCTGACTGACAGAACCCGAAGATTCAACGCGGCTAACACGAAAGTCCTCCGTTCGACGCCTGAGCTGTCCCATAGGCCTATTCTTAAGATGTCGTAATGTTGTGCTTCAAAGTCGCCCAAGATTCAAACTGGACGTTTTTACAAGATTTTTCTTCACCAAAATTTCGAATGCATTCCTTGTTTCCTTCATCATAGACACAAGCTTAGCGCATCATAGCTTCGTAATATTTTATTATTCAAATATATCACGTGACTTGTATAAATAGAAAACAGTTTCCTTTTGTAGTATCCTACGTTACACTTAATCCTTCGCCATTTTGTTCTACATGTGCAAGAGATTGTAAATATTATTTCGTAATCCTAAGGCAGGAGCTGACGGGAATATTTGGACCTGAGAGAGATGAAGTTATAAGAGGTTGAAGAAAACTGCACGCAATGATTTTCATAATGTTCAATCATCGCCTTGATGATGGAGGCAGCGATGTACTCTGAAACGTCGGTATGTTCAAATTGTTAAGCTTTAGATTTTGTGATTTTTTTCCAGCCTAGTGACACTTTATCCCACGTTGGTCCAAATGTTCTTCTCAGCATGGCATGTTCCCAAACACCCTCATCCTTACTTGGAGTCTAATCTCACCTCACCTCGTTGCATTGAGAGAAGAGATTATTTCGTACTTACGCGATTACCGACAGATTCTGTGGTGTAGAAAACATACGAAAATGGCATTTTATGATATTTTTATCAAGTTTCGACGAGTGTTAGTCCTATGTGCCTATTATTTTATAGTTAACTGATTATTTACGTGTGAGACTACAAAAGTTAATTTCCTTTCTGAAATCGGCGTAACTTTTATGAGCAGGGTAATTTGCGTTTTTGGAACAGTTGTCACAATTAATGGTATATAAAATAAAAATGTAACAAAAATGTTTTTCACAATCTTTACGAAACTGGAACGAGAAACAAAGAATATGTTCGACGAATGACAATCGAGATCGAGAAGAGGAAAACAGTGTTATTTCCAGTGTTTGTTTTTGTTTTGGAATAAATTTGTCTGTAGAAATAACATTTTCTACTTTCTCCCCAATGAAAGTCCATACTTTAATAGTAAATTTCACGCTGTTCGTTACAGAAATAAAATTAGGAATGATGCATGCTGTTCTGTTTCCTGCAGAGTGCGTATAATGAGAGCAAAGCAATGGTTAGTATTCTGAAGCATTGTTTATTGTTTCAACACAAAATGAATGTCGCTCTTATTAAAATGAAATCAGATTCCAGTCAGAACTCATCACGGATACTTTTGTATGTTTGTTTCCATATAACAAGCCCAGCTTTTCGTATACGTCTCAAAAACTCTCAAACAGCGACAAACATTCTTAAAGAAATTACTAATTAATATGTAAGTATGCTTACAATCTGCCTTACCAACTTTAAAAGTCTTGCTTGTTTCAACAAATTACTTTCCTGTAATCTATCATAAATTTATTATATTAGCTTAGGATAACTAAAATTAGGCCCATTAGTCCCTACGACGTCCAATCGCATCATCCACTGTAACAGTCTTAGTGTTTTAGTCCAACCAGGGGAAGATCGCTGTTAAAATTTACAAATTTCTGTTCAAAGTTTCATTCTATAATTTAATAGCCTATTATTCCTCAACTATTTTTATGTCAGACACGTCCTCACCGACAAAATAAAAGTATTGTTTTATTCTGGAATGTAGCACTTTGTAATCTAGCATTTATTTTCTTCAAAGATTTGTCTTCTCCTCTGTATAATATAATATCGATAGCCTATACATTGGCTCTCGCATGCGTGGACGTGCGTACAGGCTATCACTTATTTTCTCACTATTATTCTCCAGAATCGACAAAACATCCGCGAGATCTTCATTTTCGGTACCCTTTGGAGCACGATGTATATTCAAATTATATTTAAAAATTCAGTCCATACCACAAAGAAAACAATACTGTAGGATCTGATGTTTTCACGGCGGTAAGTCTGAAGATGGCTGTCTTCGTGGCTGTTGCCTCCATCATCAGGGCGATCACCCTGATGGTGAAGGCAGCAAGGACCTCTGAAGCGTCGGTTAACATCGACCAGACTACACGGTGCAACAACCCAGAAGACAGAAATCTTCATACTCAGCGCCCTGATGATGGAGGCAGTATGACCTCTGAAACGTTGGTTAACATCGACCAGACTACACAGCGCAACAACCCAGAGGACAGTCATCTTCAAAACAACACTACTCCAATACAGAAATGAAATGGTTAATGTTATTTAGGGTAACCACAGTTGTTTATATACGCATTGTGTGTGGTACACATAGCACTGCTATGCTCCAAAGCAGAGATTGGCAACCCGCAGCCCGCCAGTCACATGTGACCCTTTCGACATTTGTAAGCGGCCCATCGCGTGATTTGGAAATTAGGCAGAGGGAGGGGCAGATACTTTCTGCTTCTCAGGCATCGATATGATGAAGATTAACAAGGTATTAAGAACTGAAATTTTATAAAATTAATATCGAATTTAAATCGAAATTGGCTGAATGATAAACGTCTTTAAAACATATAACGTATTATCCCTTTTGAAATAGATACCACTCTTTTGAGTTAAAACAAATACAGTTTTTCGTTAATTTTTAACGTAAAAAATATGAAAAGAGTAGATGGCCCGCGGTTTTGAGAAGTTTGTCGACCCCGGTTTTAATTGAGTGTTGTCCGTGAGTCACAGTCAACTTTCGTTTCTTTAAATTTGGTGATTAATGGAAGATTCCATTCGGATGGTCACCGGAAGTCTGAGCTTGTAATAATCGATTTGCATGAATCGATTGTTTGGGGTTTAAAAATATAAGGCTGGGGTACTAACCATTACCACTTCGAATGCACAGGTGATACTTATTTACCAAGCGGACTTACTGCAAGGCGTGGAGAAGATCGGGTTGTGTTTTCTTTCAGGAAATTCGTTTCGCAACCGGAATATTAACACCAGGAAGGAAATTGCGCTGTTTGGCCCGGGCTTTGTGTGTACGAGACCCAGTTACAATAATTAGCGAGTTATTTATGAAGTTGAGAGCCCGGCTGTTTCGAAAAGAAGTTGTTTCTTGAAAGGATAGTTTTGTTGATTTCTTAATTTCTGAACAGTTGCTTGCTTTAAGCCAGTGATTTGTTTTTACGTACGTAGTTGGTCGACTAATAAGCTACTTGGTTGGTCGGTTTGAGAACAATGCACTGAGAATAATTTTTTTTTTGGGTTGCAGAGAGAGAGAGGAAACAAACAATGCACTGAGAATAATTTTTTTTTGGGTTGCAGAGAGAGAGGAAACCACAATTCTATAATGAAAACCCCTCATAATTTGTACTGTTCGCCAAGTGTGAAAATTATCAAATCAGTGAGCGTGACACGCCACTGCATCTTGGACCATTCCCGTTGTGTACAAGCCCATTTTTTTTTTATCTGTTCAACAAAACTTTATTTATACATCCATAAACACTCAACGGGGTGGTAATAAATGCTGTAGAATATAATGCAGAGAACCTAAATTATGATACAATTGAGACACCAATGGGAAGATAATATTAAAATGAGTATTAAAAATTACACCAATGGGAAGATAATATTAAAATGGGTATTAAAGACGTAGGTTATGAGGATGTGTTGTGGATTCAGGTCACTCAGGATAGACTGTAGTGACGAGATTTAGTAGCACGGTATTGAAACGTCGGATACAGTACAAGACAAGGAACGTCTTGATCATCTGAGCGACTATAAGCTTCCCAGTAAGGATACTTCTCCTTGTACTTAGTTGCTTAGTCAGTCGATTTAAGCATTTATCATAACCGTGCATTAGCCCTTCGGAGGAAGTACCTGCGGGCATGGCGTCCATGTTAACCCTGAAGCATTAGCACCAAACCACGTTTTATTCGTAATATTAACTGCAGGTCCGTCTGTATATGGGCTTTTAAGTCAATGAACTGTGAAGCTCTTATTTAGAGGAAGAAATACAATCGAATGCGTCTGTTTACGTCAAGAGTGCAGCATCAGGAGAATATTTATAGATGCCAGCCACGTTCCGTGAAAGAACATCTGGAGTAGTATCGTATAATTTATTGCGAAGTGAGCTACCTGCATCTAAGTAATTCGAGCTCCAATTGGGTCTCTGGCCTGGTACGACACATGAAAATTGTGCGAATACATTTCTTTATATATAAATTATAGTTCTTGTAACTGAAACTGTCAAATGCTTATGATATATTCACCTTTATTTATACTGTACCGAAAAAAAACAATCTTTTACTTACCAGGTTAGCTGGACGGTAACGTCCTGATACATTCTTCATTTCCTCCAGAGCATGGACACTTATCTATAAATAAATCGCTACTGTTCTTTTAAAATATCGTTCCGTAAACACCTTTTATAATCACTTTTGAATCGTGTGAGACTACCTGACGTCTATGTCCAAAAATATATGTATTTAAGTAACAAAGAATCTAATCAATAATGTTTATCTGACAACAGATTAAACACTTTTACTAAAGCTATGATATCACCAGCCAATTCACTCCGGTTTAAATTTTCACTGCCAATTTCTTTAAAATATATTTTATAGAACTTTGCATCATCATAGGAGCTTTCTCCCTGTCATTCAAAATGTTTCCCCTTTAAATTTCTGAACATGTTTTATATTTTTCTGATTTAGCTTACGTGCTTGTCTACCATAATATCTTAATAGAAACGTGTATATCACTTTTTTTTGTAATAGACCGATTCACCATTCGACACTTAATTGACTCTTTTAAAGCTTAGAATTTATTTTTCTTGAAATGTCGTCTTCAGATATCATATAAACTACTAGTAGCACACAGAAAATGAATGTTTCAAATTCACTGTGGACTTCAAGTACCGAGTTCTATTCTCGGTAAAGTTTCCTTGTATTCTGACCGCTGTTGCTCTCAGTACAGCAGACAAATTCCGGAACAGCAGGTCTTGGGAGCCACTTTCCGAATCCTTCTTACCCATGATTCATTACCGTCTGTCTCATTCGACTGTTAAACAACGTCAGATCCATCCAGTTATCAAAACATCTGGTAAAAATATGGCCTTGCTTTTCCCAACGTCCAGGATATCTTGAAACACTCGAGACGGTAACAGTTTTTGATGCGAATAGTAAGACGCATTTCTTGAACTTCTTTTCCATTATTTTTACTCTGAACCTCATTTTTTTTGTTATTGTTTATTCCTGGTTGTTGAAATGTTGAAACATTTCCGAATGATTTACAAGCTATTACAATATTATAAATTTGTTGGGATATTTTGGTTTCTTGACTTTTCGTATACAAATTTTTGTCTTAATTTATTCCTTGCTGATTTATGAAGGAACTTAAGAGATATTCGAAATTATATTTATGTTTCAGTATAATACATTAACGTCATCAGTGTATATAAGTAGCATAATTTATTTAGAACATTCAGTCACAACCATCACTGGTTATGTTAGAGTTCCTTCGAGTGTACAAAAAATCAGACGCTAATGATGACAACGATGATAATAAATATTAATGATATTGTTACGATATGAGTGCTTCTGTTAACAGTGTACGTCTCAAAATTTTGGACCATTGCGTCTACATAGTACACAGCCTTCACGTACATACTCAGTACGACACACACGAGTCTGGTAATCTTTTTGTATTTACTATTCATTATCGAAAAGCGAAGTTAACCGACGTTTCAGAGGTTCTTTTTACCTCCATCATCAGAGTTATGACCGCTCTTATGAGGCGATTCGAGTCTTTGAGTCGTATGTAAAATAAGGTACTGAATTAATATGAATGATTTTACATTACAAAATCAGAAAAATAATGTGTTAAGTGTTACTATTGTGATCATCGCCTGCCAGTGGTAAATGCAAAGCGGAGATCATAATGTTGAGTAACCTGCTTTATCCATATAGGACACCAGAATATGGATCCTTTTTATACGTAGCAGTAATAAGGTTAAAGTGCATGGGTCTTGTCTCCATTTTTATGATTAATAAAAGAATCCTGCAGGTTAAATATTTATTGAAGTAAATACTAAATCGCATGACTTACAGATAACACATTGAAATTGTAGTAGTCCTTGACTTTAAGACACATATGCCCTGACTTAATTTTGAGTCTTACTTCCTTCCACTTGCTTTTAGGGATATCTTGACCTCTCATTTATCACTACAGTTCTGACCTCTATGTTACCACACGCTTCGGCAGTGTTTCATTATACAGAGTGGTCGAAAAGTCACGCAACCCATTCCTATCACATGTTCTATTTGTAAAAAAAAAAATTAATTATATTAAAATCAGAAAAATATTTTATATAAAGTGTTGGAAATGTCCACCGCGATTAGCGATGCATACATCCATTATTTTATCCCTGTCTTTTGAAACCCGGTGACGAGGTACTGTCGATTTGTTTGAAACAGGAGAATCGGAAAATGTGTCCATAAACTCATTCTGTCAAGTTAAGTGAGAACGAGATGCCAGGTAGTGTTCGACAAGGACGCTCGTTGCATTTGTGAAAAAGACATCCTTGCACTTTGACTGTTGAAAGACAAATGATGGACTGGCGCAGGTTACAACATGACGTTATCGGAGTAGCCTCTTGTACAGTCACAGCGATATTGTGTGTGTTTATTAATCGAATTTTAATGCATTGCTACCATCAATAAAATAGCTGCTGTTTGACTTTTCGTTCACTGAATATTGTGACATCACACGGTGGTTGTCCAGCGTCTGTTTCTGATTTTAAATAACTGTAAACTCTGATCTAACACTTGCCTCGTTGGTTCATGGTATACCATTAGAAATTAAAACAATAAATTACAACTAAAACAGCATATTTATTGAGAGAATGTCTTTCCGACTAAGATTCATGGCAGAAATCACGTGACGTTTGGTTGTAATATCGTACATGCCCATCGGCCGATGTCCGCGCAAATACATAACCTAGCCCTGATACAGCACTCCTCTTGTACATACCGCCACCATCGCATTGCGCAGAAGAAATCGTCGGAACAGAATCCCACATCAATTTCTAATATCCCGGTAAACGCCTCCCCCCACAATCCGCCGCCCGCTAACATTAATGGCAATACACATGTACCGTTACGCATTATAATAACGTCCGATACAGCGCCATGTGGCTTTACACACAACTCCTTGCAATATTCAGTCGCACAGACAATTCACACCAGAAATCTGTTATCGAATTAAACTTACTCGTGTAAGAAAGCATCTGTAGCTTTTCGGGAAGGGATTTCGTTGTTATATGAGGCCAGGAGTGTAATTGTCATCCCAAATACAGACACTTACAGGAAGCTAACCTGCTTCTGGAAGGGTTAATTGTATGAAAATGTAAACACTACCCAAAACAAATTGCATGCAGACCATTTGCAGATCCAACCCTTTTTTCCCCGTGACAGGGTTGGTGTACTCTTTTGTAACGAAAATATTTTTGCACATTTTCTTTGAGTGACTAACATCCGGTGACTCATCTTGTGCGCAGTTCAACAAATTAGACAGTAATTACGACTATTGAACGTACAACGAAATGCCAATTTCCTGCAACTTTTACGTTGAACCTGCGGTGTTCAAATATCATTTTATTTACCTACATTTTAGTAAAGTAAGAGCTTGAATTAATCGGCTTCAATGTGAAATATCTCCTAGTACTTGTCGCTAGTTGCTGTGTCTTTTAAGACCGACATCACATGGATAAGGAGTGTGCGAATTTCCACTATTACCCGGCAAACACCTTAACATGTCTGTTAAAGTGAGACGCTTGGGTCCTTGGTTTTACATGTAAAAAAAAATACATAGTAAATAAAACGTTACTTGCATCAGGCAGTCACCTGAGAAAACCCACGTTTTCATCAAATAAATTACATAAAATTCTAAATATCGCCACGGTGGTCTATCGATTAGAACGCTGGCCTTGTAATCCTGGGGTCTCGGGTTCGA